CAGGAACATGCTTGTAGCAAATGCTTCCAAAATACAACGTCCTTCCTCCTTATATTGATTTTCCAGTGAAGATTCATGGAAGAATTGGTCTTCAGTAACCCATGCTTGAAGTAAGAAGCGACTAACGGGATCGGGTTGTCAGATTCGTTGACTTGGTTGACACATGTCATCGGTTCCCCATTGCGTAGATCGATGTTCATGATGTCATCAGTGGATTGTCTGGTCCAGACTTGATTATTTACTTAGTTCCCGCCATATAGCTGGAAGTCTGCTTGAGTGCGGCGTTAAACAACAACCAAACAAAGCATGGATATTCTTAAACCACGCTGTGAGTTTACATGTTTGAAGTCATGGAAACTACAAGCATTACACGTGTATGACCGGCACTATTACGGGAGTTCCCCCTACAATTAGTTGACACATCGTGATATCACTGGAATACTGTTCAAACTTTTAAAGCCAACGCACCCATTCATAAAGTTTAGTTCATAATGTCATAACATGGGTGTTGAAACATCCTGTCGGTTTTCTTCAAACAATCGTAACAATACGAAACACAGACTTTAAGACATGTTTCTCGCGACACAAGGTCAATTCTGTGTTTGATTATTCAGTCATCCTGGGTAAGGGCTTGTCCCCAGACACTTCCTTTACAGCATCATTTCCTACTCGCTGCATCGTCCAGATTTCCCATCATTTAGTTACACGACACCGGAGTATAAGCGCTGTGAACAGACTGATTCTGAAGAGTTGTTGTGTTCCATGTGGGCTACTCCTCAAACAGTCTTCACTGTGTTCCCAAGGCCTGATATTCATACATGTTGTCATTACAACATAATGTGGATACTAGCAGCTTCTAACTTCACAATGCTTAACACTAGCAGGTTGTCTCTAAGTGGTGCTTCCTTGTTGGGGATGGGGTACTTGTCGACATTTACTCAGCTCCTTTCGATTTCATACACATGACGATTCACACATTTTATAATGAGTGTATCTTTTGTATAGATGCATGAAATATGTGGAGCGGGATAATATTAATAAAGAAACAAACCCACATGTAATGTATGTATCCGTTCATAATCCAGCATTTCAATATTTGGGTTTTGTACCGCATTTTGGTGTTCCGTTTAAGTTTATAGCAAACCGATTTCAGGTTAACAAATGTATAATACAGAAATGTCGTTGTATGTTTATATAACAACTGATAGAGAGAGTTACGTTCGTCAGAGTCTGTAAATATGATTTCTATTTACAATGCTAAGTATACTAGACACTTGTGTGCATGTGTCATCAAGTGTCTGTATGCTCTCCTTAGAGTCTTCTATTGATATGAAACAGATTCAAGTGTCATCCAGTATCAGTATGCCCCTTAGAGTCTTCTATTCATATGAAACAGATTCAAGTGTCATCAAGTATCAGTATGCTCCTTAGAGTCTTCTATTCATATGAAACAGATTCAAGTGTCATCAAGTATCAGTATGCCCCTTAGATTCTTCTATTCGTATGAAACAGATTCATGTGTAATCAATTATCGGTATGCTCCTTAGAGTCTTCCATTCATATGAAACAGATTCAAGTGTCATCACGTGTCACTATGGCCATCACTGTTTTATCATGATAAGATTTCTGTACATGTGTTTCACAGAGCCATTCTTGGTCAGGAAACACTTGCCAAATGCCACAGCCTGTCTCTGTGAGAGCGACGGGGAGCCAAGTGGAATGGTACAGGTATTTGTGTGCATCAGATGTCGGGATGGATTTAGTCAGTGGTTGAGGACCTGCTAGATTAACGCTTAGTCTCCGAATATATATATGTAATTTGGATTGTAACAAGTAAACCCATCTAAATTGTGAAAAGGAGACCCAGGGAGATTCAGGGATTCAGAACCTTTGGAAAATCCAGACTTGCTTCATTTAGGGCTTTAGCACTGCAGGGAGGGCTAGGCTGTGGAAAATAATATGCTTTCAGGACTGTGAGACACACTTAGAAACCAGCCCTGAAGCAAGGATGCAAACTACAACAAACTAGACGACTAACAGGACATCATTGTTGTGGATGGGACGGGGCTGGTTTCAAAACATCACACACCAACTCATGAATATATGTAGAAGAAGAGGCCTCCTAAGCTCATCCCTTTCAAATCTATTATCCTTAAACAATTTCTCAATGGCTTAATTAGGTGGGCAAACATGTTTAAATACAGGTATAGCATTTAAATATATCAAAATACAGAAAACATTATATATAGGGACACATGATTCCACCTCCAACAATCTAACTATTAGGGTGAGGTTTGAAGGTAACCAAAGAATGTGAAGAAAAGGTGAATATAGAAGATTTCACTCTGATCTGCAGGTGCATGCATTCAGCACAGTGCTAGATATCCCTAAAAACAGCTTCTAGCTTTCTGTAGTCCATATTATATTGTGATAGAACTGAAATGATCCAATTGGTCAACGGGAATAAGTTAATATATAGCTTTTTCATTGCCCCAACTAACATTATGTTTAGATCTCTAATTATTTTACTTATCCTGTAAGATTCACTTTATAGAACTGGGCGGTGGGGTAGCTTAGTGGTTAAAGCGTCTGCCTCGTCACGCCGAAGGCCCGGGTTCGATTCCCACATGGGCACAATGTCTGAAGCCCATTTCTGGTGTCCCCGCCATGATATTGCTGGAATATTGCTAAAAACGGCGTAAAACCCAACTCACTCACTCACTTTATAGTACTTTGTGCACAGACAACTAACCTTGACATAGTTGTTCCATGTCATGTCATTCCCAGATTTATAGGTATGCTAGATGCTAGGATTGTTCTCCAGGACTCACACTGTATATATATCTCTGTTGTCCATGTGAACACTTCAGTACATAGTCACTGATCCACCCACTAGCATATAGAGATGAAACCAAGCGTGCTGTGTGAGAGCATTATCAGATCTTAGGTCACTGTGATAGGGTATTAAGCTGTTGTATGTCAAAGTTAACACCTCACCGATGACCATCTATAAATAAGTTCTCATTGTACTCAATAGTAACTGTTAAACATGGTAAGTGTAATAATTTAGGCCAATTTTCAGATATTTATCAGATACATAAACACTTCCTGTTCGCATACACGAGGACACATCGAGTACTGAAATCATGCGTGCATAGCTGAAACTATTCCTAATCAGTGAGGATACGGCATCTGGGGCGATGCTTCAAGGTTTGCGTGTGTAATGTATGGTGGACTTGGGATCGCACGTTTGTGTATATATTATATATAAAAAAACATTGGGTCGTTACGTGGGCAGAGTTGTAGCCAAGAGCGCGGAAACAGGCAAATCCACGTGCGGGCTGCTCTGATAAGAACAGCCTCTCTCTGTGGTTTGACCCGACGAGTTCCGTGTATGCTGGGATTTCAGTGCGTTTACACGGTGGTGTGGCTTATATGCATGTTGTTGGAGTAGGGAGCTTTAGTCATTACAGGACGACTCGAGCTGCAATCTGTTGTCTATCACAACCCTGGAACAATACGTCAATGTTCCTTTAATCAACTCTTTATCCGAATCAACTGATCAACGTATCGTTATCAAACGAGATCAGCCGGGCGGATAGACGGTGACAGGGCTCCTGTAAAGTGCGCGTGGAAATGAAGTCTTTTCATTGGTTGAGTCACGAAAGGTCACTGTGTGTTCCATTTGTCCAGACGTCACAGACAGCATATCTCTCTCTCATTGAGATTTTTCCAACCTACGTATAGCAGTGTCATTTTTGGTGTCTGAGCAGCGGTAATGACCCTGCGTTAAAGGTTATTGGCTCAACCACATGTGGTCGTCTAGAAACAATCTTCATAAAGACCGCACCAGTGAACTAAGATAAAATAATAATATATATGAAAAAAGAGCACAATCCAACTGTAATGCTAATACATTTATTAGGATCTGGCAACATTATGTAGACCTGAATAACCAAAATAAAGTTGTAATAGGTAAATAATGAACTGGAACTCCTATTAAGCCTTTATATTCTTGTAAGACTATATGGATATGAAGAAACATGAATCTTTCATGTTGTGATACTTAGTAATATTAACGATAATTCTGACAGGACTAGTGAGTACAGTTATATGAAGTAATAAGTGGAACGCCAGGACTGAAAGGTAAGATTACAAGGAACTTACTCAACATATTCCTGTGTCCATAAGCCCAAGAGGTCCTAGTTGGTGTGAGATCCACCGTGGGAACTGCCCCCAACTAGAATGGTTTGGAATTTATAGGAGTTGGCGGACGTCAGAGGGACAATCCTCTGACTTGACCAAGAAAGATTGAAAATGATACTTGAAACTTAGAGACTGTGTTTCTCAAGCATTTCAGGTTTTAATATATAGCCCAAAAATATTCATTAATCTCTTTATGAGTCAAATCTGGACATGTGATAGCAGACGTTAGTGTGGCTACCGTCACGTATATGATTTTCCTGAATTGTTCTACATTAACTAATAATGAAGATATAGTCCCAATAAAGATTTGAAAAAATAGTCTCCCATTGGGATTAATAGAAGAAAAGACTGCATTTTCTCCCAAAATAAACAAGTTTATATAAATTAGACCATATAGCCCGAAAACTGAGTATTATGGACCCAGTTGCATGATACAAGATTTAGGTTACATTCAAAAGTTGACTTTTAATTCTGACATGATATATGTCCATGCACAAACACACACATGGACTACATAAAATTGTATTGGAAGTCAACTTACTACAGGGTTTCGTCACAATAGTGATGAGTCTCAAGAAGCCTAAAAGATTATTTTCAAATATCCCCTCGACCGAGGACAGATACAGTATTACCCAGCCCGACCACCAAACGGGTTCAGTTTGACGACATCCTCAGGTTTGACACTGAAGACATGGGTGTAGTATACGAGAGAAGCAACTTAACACCGTCTTAACCAGGCAATGTCCCTTTTTCAGATTAAGCAAAGCTCGTCGTCGAAAGCTTATTAGGAGACACTGCAACATCACCAACGACACCAGACGACTACGTTCCATTCATTCCACCGGAATCACCGTCCCCATCCAAACTCAAAGAAAATGGACAGGTATGTTACATTTGTAGTTACAGTTGTAATAAACTAACACATTCCATATGTCATCTTACATGCTTTTCCGTGCATACATTCTGATGTGTATTTATATAATTGTATTATAACGTTAAGGAGTAATAATCAAACAACATTTACCTTGCAGGTATATATTTGCTTATAGTATTTTGTGATGCTTAATCTTTATTACACTTACTATATGCACGTGGTATTTTCAACAACTCTCAAATATTGCCAAACTGTTGCCATTTATATAATTGTATTGCACTCTTACTTGGTAGTTTCATTAAAGTTATCCAATACCTGTCAAAAACTTGAGATTACAGCATTGTGAATAATTTTGGCCGTTCCTTCTCAGCTTTGATCCCTACCAGGTGTTTCAGGTGAGTACATCTTCTCCTCAAAATAGCACACCCTGAAAAATAATTCTTTTCACACACATTATATGAAAACATACGGACAGAGTACACCGCCCTGTCTTACGCCCCGTGTACAAACACCCACCTCGAGCGACGAACACCTTAACTGGGTAGACCTATTTCTGCTGTCTTTATTCAATCATTTGTTCCTTCTCATGCTTTTTAGACTTTTTATCCTACAACGGTTGTGTAATGGGTGTAACCTGTATGAAGGTTTACCCTCCCACCGGGTTTCCTAATATGGCAATGGTGACCCATATATCGATTTATTGATATTTGACATAGACGCGCCTCCTCGCTTTAAAAAGGCATTATGACAGCATGTAATTCAAGGGTTAAATATTCCGTGACTCCACACTTCCTGACAGGCTGTGTCTCCCGTGTTTACGCCTGGTGACAGTAATAGGTTTCCGGTGGTTGTATTTGACATGAGAGAACGCTGGAATGTAGCCTAATCGTATTTATTAGGTGGATAATCTGACGTTATCACGGGTCTCAAATTGAAACCTCTTACGATCTTAGTTAACGCCTATGATAAGAAAAAGAACCTACCACGCTTGTTTATAAACTGAGGGTAAAGAAACGTCCCTGATCATTTTTTATCATAAAATGATACAAACACGTGCAATTCAATGTTGAAATGTTTTATATAATTGTTGAACATATTATGCAGACTGTCATTACAGAACAATTGGAAACAATTTGGTTGTAAGTAGAGTTTTGTGACGTTTTTCACAGGAGGTTCAAAATGTCCGGGTTTCGATCATGACAACACATGCACGCACATCAGTACTGACAGAGTGTCTTTGAGTGTCCAACTCCCCTCAGTAGCGAGTGTGTCCACCTCTTTGCAGCGATACATGCTGCCACATCGACGTCGCGCAGAGTGCACAAGACGTCTGATCACGCGGGATCTGGGATGCGACGCATACCTTCCTGTAGAGCTTGAGCCAAAGCAACAACGTGCTGTGCGTCTGTTCCGGACGTCTGTAGACTCCGTACCCGACCATCAGCTTTGTGGTTCAACTGGAAGCGGCTCTCGTCACTGAAGAGTACCCGGCGCCAGTTCCGTATTAGCCGCCACTCGCCGGAACTCTACGCCTTCGCCAAGCGACGACGTCGATGTTCACGCGTTAACGTCACGCCCCGGAAATGGTCTGTTGGCTCTGATAACCGAATCGGCGGAGTCAGTCTGGATATGGTCCTTCTACCGGACTGGATGGTGGGTAAGGCTGGTTTGCCGATGATCGCCTCACAGTCAGGGAATCTGTTGCGCAAGGAAGCACCCGTAAATGGCGGTCTTCCCTGGAGGTGGTTACGGGTGGTCTCCCCTGTCCCAGGGCCTGTCTGCAGTCCGGACCTGTTGTTCTGAAGCGTAAGCCACGGTCTAAGGGGATGGTTTTCTTTGCTGTTCCATGATTCTTGCAACGCACTGTGAGAAGCACTCCAGCTGCAACATCCCAAGTAGCTCGTTCTCTCTCTGTTCTACGTGAGTCGAGGCATGTCTCTGCGTCCAACGTATTGAAGTGGGATGAATTCGGAACAGTCGAGCATAATTGTTATACTGTACTTTCATACGGGTATGTTTCCACCGAAGCATGCAAAACGTGAATAAAAGCAATTTTCATGCTTAAGCAAACCCACGGATTTCCTTTCTGTGAGACGTGGGGATGGTTCGGGAGATGTGTTCCTAAATAAATTTCCACATGCACCAGAAGAACTGGTGCCAATTTACTTTTGGGACGTTTTCTGCTCCCTCAGTTTATCAAGCTTCCTGTGTTTTCTAGAGAGGTAGTCTGGCAGTCCCTGAACAGTATTATTTTCCAATGTCATTCTCCCCTGTTTACAAACCTAGTTGCATAGCCAGCCCTTGAACCACATTATTTTCCCACTTACTTAGCCTCCTTCATGTGCCAAACCTAGTCTGCCTCCTACAGTCCCTGAACAGCATTATTTTCTCCCCACTGCCCAGCCTCCTCCCTGCTTCTGCTGCCAAAACCTAGTCTGTCTCTACAGTCCCTGAACCACATCATTTTCCCACTGCTCTAGCCTCCTCTCTTTCATGCCAAAACCTAGTCTGCCTCTACAGTCCCTGAACAACATTATTTTCTCCCCCACTGCCCAGCCCCTCTCCTCCTCTGCCAAACTCTAGTCTTCGCCCCAGTATTGTGTCCCTGAAGTCATCACCATTATTTTCCACCGCCCAGCCCCTCTTCATGCCAAGTCTCCAGTCTGTGTCCCTGAACAACATTATTTTCCCCACTGCCTAGCCCTCCCTTCATGCCAAAACCTAGTCTGCCCCACAGTCCTGTTCACATTATTTTCCCACTGCTTCACCTCCCTGCTTTTTGCAAAACTCAGTCCCGGCTCCCACAGTCCCTGAACAGCATTATTTTCCCCACTGCCTAGCTCTCCCTTGCTTGGTAAAAAAAAAAAAAAAAAAAAAAAAACTCTAGTCTTCGCCCTGTGTCCCAGAACCATTAATCTCCTGCACCCTCCTAGCCCCTCCCTTCTTCATGCCAAAACCTAGTCTGTCTCACAGTCCCTGCAACCACATTATTTTCCCCGTATCAGCCTAGCCTCCCTTCATGCCAAAACCTAGTCTTGCCTCACAGTCCCTGAACCATGCCATTGTTCTCCCACTCATGCCCAGCCTCCCTTCTGCTTTCAAAACTCTAGTTCGCCTCATGTCTCCCAGCCCTCCTTCATGCTACAAACTCATAGTCTGTCTCACAGTCCTGAACCATTCTTTTCCCACCTGCTCAGCCCTCCCTTCATGCCAAAACCTAGTCTGCCTCACATTCCTGAACCATTATTTTCTCCACTGCCCAGCCCTCCCTGCATGACAAACCTAGTCTGTCTCACAGTCCCTCTAACCACATTATTTTCCCCTACCGTCGCCCCTTCCCCAGTAAATGCTAAAGCCCTAAATGAAGCAAGTCTGATTTCCCCAGGTTCGATCTCCCCAACCTAATGAGTTCTATTCCAATCTAAATGTTTTGATGAGCTACTACCAAAATAAATATTTTGAGGGACTGGGTTAGTCGAGCTGTAAAACCCTAAAATGAAGCAAGTCTAGATTTCCCTCTATGTCCAGTGGACTTCCCAACTCACTGAGAGCTCCTGCCCAATTCAATGAGTTTATTTTATACTATTACTGTAAAATAAATATTTTGAGGGACTAAGCGTTAGTCGAGCTAAAAGCCCTAAATAAAGCAAGCAGATTTCCAGAATCATCCTTTCAATTTTGCTCCTTTTTCTAATTTAAAATGGGATTATTTTGTTACTTATATATCACGCATTATATTCAGATACCGAGCGTTAGTCTAGTTGCCGTCCATGTCGCGCGTTTTTGTGCATATTTCTGCGGTAGGAATTAAACAAGGATATTCCCACGGGTGATTAAGCCAGATTAAGCATCCTAATAAAAGACCAATCCTGTGTATGTCCTTGGCGTAAACCATAGTGACGCGTGTGTACAGGAATGTGCACTTCCTTTCAAGATTTCACTCGTAAGGAATATCGAAGCTATATAACGAGTTTATCGTGTTTACACAATGTCGCCATGCCCGCTACGCCGACACTAATGGGATAGGAGAGCAAATGCTGTAGATGATGTCAATATTACCATTCCAGCCGTTTTCCAGGATTGAACCGTAGTCTTTGATCTGTGATATTGAGAAAAGTATTTGATTATCGAGCGCGGACTATTCACACAGTACATGTGACAAATTCATTGGTTTAACCATTTAGCTTCAGAGGTATACACTCAATATAGTGCATTTTAAGTGAATACTAAATTGATTTTTCTTGGACAAAAATTCAATGAACGCCCGTAAAGACAAAAAAATACAGTGCAATAGAAGTTCGCCATGTAACTTAGCATTTCCTAACAGTTTGACTGGCAGTCAGTTAGTGAGTAAATAAAACACATACAACGTTCCAGTTCGAAAACGATCTTAATGATCATCAGCTTGAAATGTCGCTTATAAAATAACTTTACAAAACTTGACCCCTTTGTAAAACCTCTTATAACATTAAATGATTATCTCTGTTCTTCGCATCAAGATCAATATGCCTTTACCAGTAGCCTAGTGTTAAAGCGTTCGCCCTCACGCCGAAGACCCGGGTTCAATTCCCAGTCGGTTACAATGTGTGAAGCCCATTTCTATTGTCCCCGTCTCGATATTGCTGAGTATTGCATAAAGCGGCGTAAACCTCACTCTCACTCACTCGTTAATTCTGTTTTTCCAGGTGAACCACTTGCCTTGTATGATCCCTCACAGTCAAGGTCATCCATACATGGCAAGAACATTACCAAAGGATGGGAAGACTACCGTGCGTAGATCTCATTCTACGGATATATTCCACGTGTCCAAAGTAATTTATTATAATTATTTTCCCTTCCGCTGTTTCCAAATCGTTCCCAAATAACTGTCTGCTTACATTGAACAGCTGTTAACTTTGTTTGATGTTCCGCTTAATGTTTTATTCAAGCCTGATTAATTATGATAATGTCTAATCTGGCCTTAGTTGAGGGAAGTTGGCGAGTCATAGCGTGGTTTGTAAGCACAAACTGAATACGCCGCTTCATTCTATTTGGGCAAATAAGCTTTATATAGGTTGATTGGTTTGTTGTTATTCCAGCCATAGGTCTTTGTAAGTAATCGAGTCTGGACCAGGTAATCCAGTGATCTGCCAGACATAACATCTATCGCGATCTACGGACTAGATACGATGAAATGTGTCAACTAAGTCATCGAGCCTGACCACACGATCCCGTTAGTCGCCTCTTACGACAAGTATAAGCTGCTTGAAGATCAGTTCTAACTCGGATCTTCACGGGTCCCTTTATATAGTCAGCTTTGTTGTAGCCGGATCACACTGCGAGTCTGACTTTTAACCTGTTGATCCTTAGTAATACATTTCATCACAAAAGGAAAAGGCGTCAGGGCACCCCATGTAGCTGATGACGCAGAGTAAGAAGAATCCCATATAGAAGTGGCATCTTATCCCAAGAGTGTAATTCAAGCCACGCGTACCCTCATATCAACATTACTAAGTATTCAGCTATCTGAAGCTAACAACTCCACTCCCCTTACATGAATACATCTTGGCGTCGACCAATACCGTCTAAGAGCAGCCCATGTTATCTTTGGGGGCAACATATATGGTCGCTTAATGCCAAAGGTATTCGCGACGTAATTGAAAACACGTAAGCGGTACCCAGCAGTCTTCATAGAACGATGAGCTAAATGTAAACATTCCATAAATTAAATATGCTTAAGTAGTGGGGATGCGAAAAATAACTACTATTGTTTGTCAAATGTATATATGCTATTTCTGGTCGATGTTTATTTGGGTTTTGTCAGAACGGGCAAAGAATGAGGTATTTATGAGCCGGAGGTGCTGGACTACTTCTGGCTCACACTTGTAACTCTGGCCTTTCGGTCAACGTCTCTGATGGACATTTACAAACCAAACAAATTGCGTCCCGTCATTAATGCTGTACATTTTCAAAGGACAACCCAATTCAGTGGTGCGAGTTCTTTTAACGAGATCTCCTGAGTAAGATTTTAAAACATGTAAAGTATTAGATACGTTGTTTGAACTGGATCCTCCCCTGTAAGTTGCCGCAAATCTTGGAAAAGCATGACATAATCATGTGAACGACAATGAAGGCTACAGCCAATAGCTGGATGCAGGCATCCCTGTGAGCTGAGGTATTAGCGTGACGTCCGAAATAGCCGCTTTCTACTGGAGATGAAATTGTGTGATAACACGATGTCACGTAAGCATGCCCTCTTCAACTGTGGGGTAAACGCACCCTGTGTCATATATAGATATTGTTTAATAATGAAAATAATATTGTATTTGGGATTGCCGCCATATATTGTTGGAATATTGCCGAGAGCGGCTTTAAACAACAAACAAAACGGATCCCCCTGGAGTGTCATGGACGTGACAACATATATACCAACATGAAGAAATGAATTACACGTTTCGTACATTTGGCGTATGGCCTTGATGATGTAGCTCTTGGTGGGGAAGCTTAATCCATCAATACGAATTCAGCTTTACAAAGTTTTATGTTTGGTAAATATTCCAGCAATATGCACAGCTGAAGAAATACTACTACAGTTCCTATTTAGATTAAGCGATGGGGTAGCCTAATGGTTAAAGCGTTGGCTCGTCACGCCGAAGACCTTCGGGTTCGAATCCCTACATGGGTACAATGTGTAGAAGCCCATTGTGTCCCCCGCCGTGATATTGCTGAATATTGCTTAAAAGCGGCGTAAACCAAACTCACAGTCCGTCATCCTATTTAGATTACCCAGTAGAAATAACAGGTGGAAGGTTCTATCTGCATACGTGTGGACCATTCTGTGTTTGTTTATTTGTTTGTTGCTGAACGCTACAACACTATTCCAGTTATGTATGACTGCGGATTTCGTAAATATGAGAGTATGGACCAGACAATCCAAATGATTTGACATCATGAGTATCGATTCATATGGATAGTATGACATACCAAACCAGGGTCAGAACCTGGTGACCCTTCATCCCGATGGTCTTGATATGCATGGGCTTGCCATGGGACCAATTCTAAACCGGATAATCAAAATTTCGGCGTTATGTTACATAGATATATTATTATTATACATCAATACCAGGAACACAAATAACATGTTTGTTTCTTTAGAGGCAATTCTTAAATCTATAATAATATCTCACGTTTGTTTTGTTTGGTAGTCGACACGCCTGATCCCTATTTCCTTATATGGTGCTTGGAATGCCCCCTGAGGGCTGCGTAAGAAAACTCTTACAGTCGGACAAATAATCCAAATCCTGTCTTGGAACGAGACTTCACATTCCTTTTGGACATCCGGGAAAAGAAACAGATTACGTACGTAGTGTTCTGATTGTCAACCTTGTAACATTATTAGTATAATAGCATTGTCTTAGCAAAATAGTATTGTCTATTGTCTTAGTAGAATAGTGTCTGTCTTGGTAGAATATTATGATCTGTGCTACAATAGTATTGTATAGTAAAATAGTATTGTCTTAGTAGTGTTGCATTATCTTAGTAAAATAGTAATGTCTTAGTAAAACAGTATTGTTTAAGTAAAACAGTATTGTCTTGGCACAATAGGATTGTCTTAGTACAATAGGATTGTCTTGGTACAATACGTGACATATTACCGAGACCAACGAGGGGTAAACGTAATTTCTATTCACATCATTTCCTGATCACAAGGTTTCAAGTTTCCTTTGGTTTTACAGGAGGTCAGCTTGATGGAGGCTGCCAACCTAGTGTATGACCAGGAACTCTGGAACAATATACTATGACCCGTATAAAATGACAGAAGGGCAATGGATGAGAGAAAGTTCCTATTTAACGAAGTGTCCGAAGTCTACGTCGATTTGCTGGTTGTGCTGGGAGTAAGTCGAAATCCTAAACGTTCCTGTGATTACATAGTTCTTTCCATTTTAATAAGGTTCAATACAAAAACAATCTTAGCGGTAAGATGATCCATATACCTTAACTCAGACCTACCAGGCAAGTTATGCTATTGATGTTGTTTTGTACATCATAAACCCGCCTAACCCAGAGAAGAATTTATATGTTGACTTGCAGACTATATGAACACGATGGTCTTCTATATATTAGACCAGGGTTCAAATCTTTAACCAGTATTTTAGTTTCTTTCAAATATGGATGACTGAAAATTATTCTTCATTTGACTGTTTCTTTAATTTCAGCAAGAATCCCACCCCTTGGAGGCATAGCCTGTGTCTGTGTGTGACTCTGGAGAAACAGTTCCTGGAAAAGAGGCGAGAGAAGGCATTTGAGGGAATGAGGAAACTCCCAGGGAGAGGTCACCAGAAAAGTTCGTTAGGTGCTGAGTTATGGAAATACCAGTCGAGTACTCTAATCTCACGGTGTAATATTAGGGTTTTAAAATATTCAAAAACACAATACGAATGAGAGGAGCGGTTTATTGATAACATAATCCAGCTGATCTATATGTGAATTCATAAGTTTTGTCAAAGGCGGGATCGGGCCAATTTGAACTTGTCAGGAGGGGTACACGAAGACCATGAACTGGACTACTATTGACAGTCTTCCAGACAGAGGGGCTCGATTGCTGGACTTTGTAATGACAATTAAATGTTGCCTTAGAACGTTGATCAGACTGATAGGACCCTAAATCCACCCGAATCTTTCACATTACTCAGGAAGTGTCATCCTAAATACGCAACATAGTTTGATTTGACCTTTCTAAAACGGCATTGCGTGTGTTATTTATGGTTTATTTTAGTTGACACTATTTGTGTGTTTTTATGCGGTGAGGTAGCCTATGGGTTAAAGGTTCGCCTCGTCACACCGGAAGACCAGGTCTCAATTCCCACATGGGTACAATGTGACGCCTTTGGTGTCCCCCTGCTGTATATTGATTTAATGTTGCTGTGCGCGCATAAACCAAACCCACCACAATTGGTGTTTTGACATGTGCTTTATATTCTGTAATATTGTTTATGTGTAGGTCCCCAACATAGCTGTAAGTTAGATCTGGTGGTGGATTCCGTCATATGGTGGCACTGAGGGTGTGTCTACATGCTATGAGGACACAGGAGTCCCTGGACACGGTGACATATGCCTGTGGGCCTCCGGCTCATCCTGGTATGGAAAAAAACTGTAAACCCTTAATCGCTGTAGTGGACAATTACTCTTTATTATGCTTCTTTATCACATACAGTTATGTAGTAGATGAGAGTCGTTATATAATACTCCTCTCTAAAGAAATTTTATTAATAATGGAAGCTATGTATGTGTATGGTGTTGCCTCAAAAAATTTCCAACCTGAACAAATATGAAACACTCACATTCAAACATGACCTATGTTCTAAATCCATACATCAGTAAACTAGAACAACAGATTGCAGAAGCTCTATTATCCCAGCCTGTGGGTATCCAGTTTAAACTATACATAGGGGCAGCAGGGGTAGCCAAGTGGTTAAAGCGTCCGCTCGTCAAGCTGAAGACCGATGTTCGATTACTACAAATGGGTACAATGTGGAAGCCTATTTCTGGAGTCCCCTGCCCGTGATATTGCTGGAATATTGCTAAAAGCGTGCTTAAGAACATTAACGCACTAAACTATACACCGATAACACCCTCGATAACAGGATAAAGAGAAAATAACAATAGGCAGAGGTATAACACTATTTTCCTTCAATCTTCACAGGTATCTGTCCAATCTAT